TATATATATACAGTGACTTTATGTCTAGATGCAGCCACACACCAAAATGGAAGTCAGTCTGTAAGTTATCCAGCTCAGAGGTGATGGACGGAGTCCCAAGTCCTCCCTTCGCTCCACAACGGGGGACAATAAGCTGTCCCACGTTAAACATGAATTCTAGCAGCGAAACGTCATGTTTATAAAAGAAAACGAGAAAAAGCAGACGCATCCTTCACAGCCCCCTCTGAAACTCAACACCTACGTGTTACTGTGGGCAGACAGAGTTGCGTCAGTCACCTGGCTGCCTGCGGGCGGCTCTCGGTTTGTGTGTGAGAGCGGAGGTCCGGTGGGCCCCGAGGCTCCCCGGGCAGAGGCGAGCTGCTCCTGCTGTCCACGCTGGGAGAGCTGCTGCTGGGAGAGACGTCGCTGCTGTTACAGCTGCTGCAGCCGGAGGAGAACGAGGACGCCCTGGACACCAAAAAACCCGGAGAACGCCAACCCTGCAGGGGAGGAGAGGAACCACGAAGGAAGAGAACAGCAAGTCCAAAACTAGAGAAAACTGCAAAAAATGTATTGTGAATGCTAATTGCAGAAGAACTTGCTGAAAAACAGCTAAAATTAGATAAACATATGCTTTAATGTAGCCGAAATGAGGAACTATTCTAAAGTAGCAGAAGCAAGTAGAAATAACACATATATTTGCTGAATTAGGTTGAAATTAGCAGAAATGAGCACAAAAATGAAGAAATTAGCAACAAAAAAGCTGAAAAGTAGTTGAAAAGGCAAAAAGAAGCTTAAACTACTAGAAGGAAGTGTAAAAAAAACAATGAGCTATGACAAATTGGTGAATTAGCTGAAAAAGCTAAAATTAGTATCAAAAGAGCTAAATAGTGGCTGAAAGAGCAGAAAAAGGTGAAAGGAACATAAAGAAGTTTATTAGGCTGAAAGTAGCAGAAGTTTACATGAAAAACGAATTGATCTGAAAACAGATGAAATTAGCTAAAAAATGCTTAAAAGGTAGCTGAAAAGGTAGAACAAGCTTAAATTAGCAGAAGAACGTAAAAGGAAATCATGTTTGCCCAATTAGACTGAAAGAAGAAGAAATGAGCACAAAAAGGGGAAATTATCTGAAAAAAGCTGAAATTAGCAACAAAAAACAGATGAAAAGTAGCTAAAACAACTGGGAAAAAAAAAACTTAACCTTGCAGAAATAAGCTGAAAGAAGCATAACAAGCTGAAATTACCATAAAGAAGTTAATTAGACTGGAAGTAGCAAAAATTACCATGAAAAACTTTATTTTTTCTGAAAACAGCTGAAACTTGCTAAAAATGCTTAAAAGGTAGCTGAAAATGTGGAACAAGCTGAAATTAGCAGCAGAAAGCAGAAAGAACACATTTGCACATTTCGGCTGAAAGAAGCAGAAATGAGCACAAAAAAGTGGAAATTGACTGAAAAAAGCTGAAATTAGCAACAACAACAACAACAAAAAACCTAGCTGAAAAGTAGCTAAAGTAGCAGAACGAAGCTTAAATTATCCAAAGGAAATGAGGAGAGCACGTTTTAGCTGAATTAGACTGAAAAAAGTTTAAATGAGCGCAAAAAATCTGGACTTGTCGGAAAAAGCTAAAATTAACATAAAATGGTTAAATAGCTGAAATAGCAGAAAAAACTGAAACTTGCAGAAAGGAGCTGAAAGGAGCAGAACAAGCTGAAATTGGCAGAAAGACTCAGCTGAAAAAACAGCAGAAAGTAACTGAGCAAAAGTTTAAATTTGCACAAAGTAGCTGAAGCAGAACAAAATATGAAAGGAGCAGTAAAAGGTTGTAAACAGAGCTAAAGATCTGAAGAATATAAAACGAGTGCAATTCATTTCCTAGGCGGAAAAAAGTAGTAGAAAAGGCTAAATGTTCCAAAAAGCTAAAGTTGAACCAATACGAAAAGTCATAGCACCCTCTCCTGAACGAGCTGAACGTATTGACTTGTGATTTGCTGAAATAGCACAAAAATTATGGAACAAGAAAGATGCTGAAAATCTACGGAAGCAAAATGTCTCACAATAGTGTGAATGCTTCATAAACATTCACACAACAAGTTGTGTACAACTAAACAAGATGGTTTGAAAATCTCAGAAACCCTCATGTTATTCACCACTGAACCTAATAAACACACTAAATGTTAAAACTAAGAAATAGTGCCTGTAATGTTATTAGAAAATAAGGTGATTTTAAATGATATGGCAGTAAAATATTTAAAAAGGTTGGGGCAGGCGGGGTCATGTTTACCACCATAAAGCAGCGCCTCTTCTTTTAACAACAATCTGTAAACATGGAGGAACTGAGGAGAGCAGCTGCTGGAGGTTTTTGGACGTGAACGTCTCCGTTTTGTTCAGCAGTCCTGCTTCTTCGTTTCACCATGCTTGGCATCGTCTTGCTGAAATATGCAAAGTCTTCCCTGAAAAATATGTTTTCAGGATGAGAGAACATGTTGCTTTTCTACAATCATGGCGCCTTCCCAGATCTGAAAGCTACTTTCTTGTTAGGCCTGGGAGCACCGTGGGGTCCTCGCAGAGGAGCTGGAAGAGGAGGCTGCGGACAGAGATGTCTGGACCTCCTTGCTCAAACTGCTGCCTCCACGACCCGACTTCAGAACAAGCTGAAGATAATGGATGGATGGACTGTCTTTAAAATATTAAACCATTTTTTTTAAACGTTTGATAGGTTTACAATGCTGCTCTGTGAATAAATCTGTATGATGTGTTCATTTCTGTCTTATTCACTCATAAATGCATCACGGGATCAGAAACTGACCAGATCCTCGTTGACAACAGTCAGCAGCAGCTCCTCTTTCCCTCTCAGCCACGGCTGGAAGTATTTAAATCCCTGTGAAATGAAAAAGAACGACATGTTAGACTGCAACACATGAGCTGATTGACATCTTCTCTGTTTGGCCATCAAACCTGCAGCGATCCAAGTAAAGTCAGGTCATTCAGGAAATGCTGCAGCTTCCTCTTCTGCTCCCTCTCTCTTTTCTATTCATTTAACACACATTAAAACTATATTAATACACAAAGTCTATATCCTCCTGCACCTTTAGGGATGCAGCAGCATCCTTCCTGTTCCGTATCTTAGCAACACAAGCTATGACTCTGACAGTAAGGACAAATGAAAGAGTGCAACCCCCTGAAAGCAGAACACAAGCTGGCAGGGAAGAGAAAGGCTGATTTAAATGCAACAGATCACCACAGAAACACTTACACTGCTCATTTTGATCCAAATCAGAGGATGCGTCCTTCGTTTTCACAGGCGGTCATGTTGAGCTGCTCTGCGATAACAAAAACAACCTAACTCCTGCTGTTTGGCCGCATGTTCTTCATTTATGGTTAATTCCCACCGTAGTAGCCGATGTCTGCCTCCTCGGGTGTTGTCCCTCAGACTCAGCAGCATTTGTGGTTGAGGGATTTGGCGCCACCTGGTGGCCATTGTTGTAAACTGCAGCCTGGCTGCTAATTTCACTGTTCTGGTTCAAACACAGCTGTTCATCTGAAGAACTCGGCTCCAGAGTCTCCTTTCACAGTCAGATAATGAGCCAAAAACATATTGATTGAAAATATACAAATTGATTTGTAAAAAAAAAAAAAAAAAAGTTGTGATTGTGGCGCCACCTGGTGGCCATTGTTGTAAACTGTTTGTTACGTGGGTGTCCAAAAACTTTAAAACATCTTCATTAATCCAAAATGCTGCTGCCAGAGTCCTAACTGGAGTTGGTAGGAGAGATCATCTCGCTCCAGTTTTAGCTTCTCTTCACTCCCTGTCAAATTCAGAACTGAATTCAAAATCTTACTTCTAACCTACAAAGCTCTCAACAACCTAGCTCCATCTTATATTACAGATCTTATTGTTCCATATTTTCCTAACAGAGCACTTCATTCTCAGACTGCAGGCTTACTTGTGGTTCCTACAGTTTCCAAAAGCAGAATGGGAGGAAGACCTTTCAGTTATCAGGCTCCTCTCCAACTTCCAGTTTCTGTACATAAGGCTGACACATTGTCCAGTTTTAAGACTTTCCTTGTTGATAAATCCTATAGTTAGGGTTGGCTTGTTATGCTGCTATAGGCTTAGACTAGTGGAAGACAAACTGACCTCATTTCATTTAAATTAATTTTAAAAACTGAATAGTTTTCATTTGATATTATTTCTATTTTAACATGTAATTCTTGACCTGCCATTGTGTATCTATTCCTCCTTCCTATTCCTCTCAAACCCAGCAGATGGCCTCTTGTCCTGAGCCTGGTTCTGCTGAAGGGTTCTTCCTCACGAGGGAGTTTTTCCTTTCCACTGTCGCCTCCATGCTCAAGATGAGAGTTCTGTGATGGAGTTAAATTCAAAGCAGTCTGCTCCTCAGATAAATAATGTTAAACTATTTTTTATACATATGAATGTTTCTGTTCGGTGCCCTGAGACGACTTCTGTTGGGACTTGGCGCTATGTAAACAAACTGCATTAAACTGAAGAAGGTTGGGTTGAGAAATTCACAACTATCACAGCTCTGGTTGCTCGTGTTAAACTTGTTCGGGCTAGTTAGCTTAGCTTAGCATAAAATGACCCGTACTAAGAAAATCAGTCAAAATGAGTTTTTTTGTTTGTTTTTTACCGACTCATTATGTCAGGTCTCTTAATTGTGAATGAGTCTCCGAGGCTCAATGGGATTAACCTGTATAAATAAAGGCTGAATGAATTATTTAAAAATTCTTGTTCAAAATGACACGCAGCTTGTTGACATTTTTTTTTTTCCCCCACCGAATAGTGGTTTGAAAACTTGTGACGAGTGATGTCATCAGGAATTCCCGCCCTATTTTTAAAAATGGGGATGCCTAAGCTTCACAACATTATACGAAGGGATTTCCCAGCGCATAGAATAAGGATGAATTTTAACAGAAAATATAAGGGTTGTAGGAGAAAGTTTTGTATCTGAATACCTTAAAAAAACTTTCATTTAACGGTAGATTAGTAAGGTTATATGCTATTTTAGTTGTTAGCAACGTTTGTTGATGCCGTTGATTTTATTTTTATGCAAATCTCAATTAGAGCAAAAAATATTTCCACATCTTTCACACCGCACCCTGTGATTGTTAACTCACTTTGCCAGGATGGGTCTCAAACTGTAACAAACCATGCTTTATAATAGTTAAAATTTTATTATTAACTTTTATTTAACCAGGCAAATCCCATTGAGATCACAGATCTCTTTTGCAAGGGAGGCCTGGACCTGAAGGCAGCATAACCTAAAATAAACATAATATAAAATTAAAATATTTACACGCTAACTACAACTCCAGTTCTGACTAGGCATGTCGCAATAAACAATAAATCAATTAATCGCATGATAAAAGAAAATTATCAACCTCATTTTCATTTATCGGCTTTATCGTTTCTTCATGTTTCTTTTTCTACTGAAGACACTGGATGACAAAAAGCTCAACTCCGGTGTTCTTCTTCTCTTTTCTCTATAAAATCCATTTTAACCGTCCAAAATAGCATTTTTGGATCGTTAAAAGCAGCTAAACTGAGAAGCTAAGCTAAGAGCTAAGCTAACAGGCCGACCGGAAAAAAGCTGTCTTGTCAAAGCTCTGAAATTCACAGTTGAAACCTGTGCCTTCATCTAAAAAGTTGTTTTTCTCTGCAAAAAGAAGCTGAGAACTTGTTTACTTGTTTTTTAAATTAAAAGCTGTGTGTGAAAAATGCTATGCTAATGAGCTCAAACCACACCGAGCATCCATTTTGTGAACTGAAAAACAGGAACGAGAGACAGCCCATGTCACGTCAAGAGGCCTCCCTCCCATTTTTCTTAAAGAGACTCGCTCCCTCACCATCCATCATTTGGTTCAGTCTTATACTGCCATCCGGTGGTCAAAAAAGGTACTACATACAAAAATTCCCCAACATTTCTTCTTAAATTTGACAATTATTAATTATTGTAAAATTTCAAACAATATTATCGTTTATCACAATAATTTCTGAGACCGTTAATCGCCCAGCAAAATTATCGTGACAGGCCTAGTTCTGACAAAGTTGGGACATCGTGTTTCTCTCATCGGCGCTCCCTATAATCAGACCACCTCTATGTTAGAATGAAACAGACGTTTTCATAAGAGGGGGAAATAACTTTACTCTGTGTGACAAGTTCATGCTTCATCAACGCATTATTGGCTCTTTACGAAAATCAACATAATGTGCAAAAAGCTGCAATCGTTTTTAAAGTGGCAGTGGGTTAAATCTTTCAGAGCAATCGTGACTGATCAGAAAACAGCAGCGATCTTCACAGAAGTCGAGACACGATCCAGCTTAAAGGTTCCTGGAGCTGAAGTGGACGAAGAAGGTTCTGATCTCCTTGGGTGAGATGGTTATGGTGAAATCTTTATTGCGGTTGCTCCGATATGGTTCACTCTCTAAAATAAATAAACAACAATTTAAAATTGTTTTACTTAACATCGTTGTAAGTGGGCATTAGAAGACTTCTGTCCTGTCGTGTTCATAGAAAAGCTTACTTTGTTCCAAGGTATCTGCAGTTTTCCACGTCCACCTCTGCAAACTGGTGATATCCCAGGTTCCTGTGAGCGATCGCTCCTCCAGCACCTTCACCTCGCCTACGCCTCGCAAAACATCCTGCTCGCACGAGAAACGACAGGTAAAAAGCCACAAAGGAAAGCTCCTTTAAATCACAACCTAAAATAATAATAAAAATAAATAAACGTCTTCTTCTTATAAAACTATAACATCGTGGGACTAAGACTACGTTCACACTGCAGGTTTTAATGCTCAATCCCAATTTTTTTTGATTAGATCAGATTTTTTTTTGCATTTTTTCTCACTATACAATTTAGATGTGATAGTCATCAGTCTCCAGTGTGAACCGTCTACAGCGATGGTTCTCAAACTGGGGTCCTCGGACCCCCAGGGTGTCCGTGAGCTGGAGCTTGGGGGTCCGCACCCCCAAAAAATGATTATAATTTTTTTTTTACAAACGCGTAGATGTTTAACAACCCGTTAAAATACACCATGATTCAGGAAATCACATCTATGTTATTGAAAATTTTCTGGGGGAGGACCGTTCAATTCTCGTTCAGTTTTTACATTTGATCCAGCTGCGTCGTACTCAGGTGCAGAATTACATTTCTGGAATGGAAGCAACATCTGAAAGTAGAAACAAACTCAAGTATCGATCCCGTCACGCCAGTATACGATCAAGTACACGATCCAGTACACGATCCAACACATTAGTATAATTTGTTGGTGTAGATCCGTGGTCCTCAATCGTAGTCCTCGAGAGCCACTATCCTGCATGCTTTCAATGTTTCTGATTTAAATCGATGGGTGATTGAAAGGCTTCGGCAGAACAACGGGTGATTCAGTCATTAAATTGAGTGTGTTGGAGCAGGGAAACGAGTAAAACATGCTCGACAGTGACCCTCTGTGACCATGATTGGACACCCCTGGTGTAAACTCTCAGTCATCCAGGAAAAATTGTAAACATTTAAAATAAAAGATGGAGAAACTAGCAGAGTATGTGCTGAGTTTTAAGCTTTAAACTGCATTAATTGGTGTCAGTATTACTAAAGTTTGGATTGATTGACAGACTCTTCATTGACATAAAAGTTGTACAGAAGGTGACATGACCGTTCAGACTGAGGTCACTTGGAAAAACATGAGATACGCATTTGATTTACTAATGCATATCCCGTTCGTACCCAAGTGACAGGAGTTTCTGTGTTAAGGTTGGTAATAGTGTATTCTGCGTCAGTGCCTCTTTCCTGTGGGGTCCCACAGGGCTCAATTCTTGGACCACTTTAATTTTCACTACTGCCTTTGGGATCTATCCTGAGGAAATGTGTCCTTTCATTTCATTGTTATGCTGACGATTGTCAGATTTATCTGCCCTTGAAACCCAACAGTTCCTGCTCCATTTACCCTCTGTTAAAGTGTCTTGATGACATCAAGGCATGGATGGCTTCAAATATTTTAAGTTTTAATTATCAGAAAACTGAAGACGTTGTGTTTAGCCCTAGCTCTACCACTGTCACTGATCCTGTAAATCTTGATTCTCTTGCCTTATCTTGAGCAGTCTGTTACGAATCTCGGAATGGTTTTAGACGCTGACTTTAAGTTTAATAAACAGATTAACTCTGTTCTACAAAAAAGCTTCTTCAAGTTAAAGCAGATAGCTAAGCTTAAGTCTGTGTTGACCAGATCTGACCTTGAAAAATTAGCCCACACGTTCATTACAACCTGGCTGGACTACTATAACTCGCTTTATGTTGGGGTCAGTCAGGTCTCCCTTTCATGTCTCCAGCTCATCCAAAATGCTGCAGCTTGGCTATTAACATGAACTTGTAGGTTTGAGCACATTTCATCAGTTTTGTCCTCCCTTCACTGGCTCCCTGTGTGTCAGAAATGAATTAAAAAAAATTATCCTGTTGACATTTAAGTGCATAAATGACTTTGCACACTCTTACCTCTTTGAGATACTTCAACCTTATGTTCCCTCTCGGCACGGAAGTCATCTGATCAGCTGCTTTTGGTGGTACCAAAAACCAGACTGAAGCTCAGAGGAGAGCCGGCTTTTTCAGTCGTAGCCCCTAAACTTTGGCACTTCGGTAATAGCTGCTGTTTTAAATGTGCTTTATAAATAAATTTGACTTGACTTGATATGAAAAAGACCTGGGTCTGATAAAAAAATAAAAAAAAAAATAAAAAGATTTTTCACATTCAGACTATCAAACTATTCAATATGGGTCACATGTGAACAAAAAAAGAAAAAAAGTCTAATGTGGGCCAACTTTGCCTGCAGTGTGAACACAGCCTAAGATTTTCTGCCTCGGTACCTTCAGGTTTATCGTGACGGGCTTGGAAAACTCAGGGTGCTCCCCCTCTTCAAACAGATGCATGATTCTTAACAGAACCCGGTCAAAATCGGGCTCAGAATGCAGGTTTTCACCTAAACAAGAAGCAGATACAAATAAAAACTGACCCAAAATAGTTACTGTTGTACAGGCTTTAGCTCTCTGGGTTTACCGGAGTGGAAGTGGCTGAGGTGACTGTCGTGATCAGAGTTGTAGTTCCACCCGGGGATGCTGAGGCTGAGCAGGTGGAGGTTGGGAGGGAGAACTACCGGAGACACCGGTGAATTACGTCTGGCCTCCTTCTCCAGGCAGGGCTTCCCTACAACAGAATGAGAAGGTTTGCAAACTTACATAAACTATAACTAATTTATACACACATGCGTAAAGTGTTTTTTTTTTCTTTTCTCAATAAATGTTAAATTTCAGGTGATTTTTTTGTAAGCGCAGTTAAAAAAAAATGCAAAAGAACAAGTGAAAAAAAAAACATGTCAAACAGAGAACACAGATCAATAATAAAAAAAAAACATTATTTTACTTTTTTCTGTTAAAAAAAATATTTCAAATGAGCAACAAAAAAGCTGGATTAGTGATAATCTCAACATTACTGAGATATCAACAATACAAAGAAAGAGTATTAAAAAAACTAAATCAGTTACTACTTATTTTATCTTTGAAATCATTTATTAGTTCCCTTCATCATATTTAGTGGAATTCAACTAACAACATTTTAGTAGTCAGGAAAAATGTTTAACGGAAAAAAGCATAATCAAAAATTACTCCCAGATTTATTTATAAAGAGTCAAGATTCTTACGGTAAAATCAGTGAAGGTCAGAGGTTTCCAATAAGTAGAATTTTTAGATTTTTTTTTTTTTGTTCATTTAGGTGAAAAACTTTACCTGCAATGTTTGATAATTATTGATGGAGTAAATCTTTTATTTAGACTTTAACCAAAGAAGAGCATTAAAAAGGAAAATTTCAACAAGTCATATATTAACAAGCAGTACATCAAGCTCTCCCATCGCAGAGGGATTTGAAAAGTGAATGTTTTTAGTTTTCGAGATGAGTGTTTTTCTGGACTGGAATTGAACAGGGAATGCAGGTAAACCTGGATGTTTTTGGTAAGGGTGCACCGATTGCAGTTTTCTGGCCGATCACCGATTTCTAAAAAGTCTGACCTGCCAATTCCGATTTTGTCCGATACCGATTTTGTTTTATAAGCAACAAGGTCACAATGCACCTTAAATTTTCCAATATTTATTGAAAAACATACCCTTGAACTATATCCTAGAAACAATACAAACTTGTTTTAACTGGTCATGAGGTAGTGCTTTGAAATATAAATGAAGTTCAGACGATTGTTAAAACTAAAAAATCAGTAAAATCCGTTTCTCATGCAAGTTCGAGTTCCGATTTCCCAAAATTAAAGAAATCGGGGCAGATAGTGCACCCCTAGTTTTTGGTGCTAGATATTCAAGTGGGTAGGAGTAAAACTGTGTTTAAGAAAAGTAGTATTTTTTTTTTGTCTGAGGTGAAACAGAGTGACAGATTCTGGTGAGTGGAACAAGCAATTTTATCCACCACCAGGAACAACGGGCGGATCCTGTGGGTGGCTAATGGTGGCCTTGGCCACCATAGATTAATCTTCAGCCACCCCAATCATTTGACAAAACTATACTTTTAAGTAATATAAAAACTAGAAAGCATAGTTTCCTCAAATGATAGGGATGGCCGGTTTACACACGTACGCACTTATATATGGTGTTGGCCATCTTGGATTTTAAAGTGGCAAACCCCATTTTCTAAAGGAACCTTTCTTACAACTAGATGCAACGACACACTGAAAAGTACATTGTCTCTTTGCTTATTTTTCATGTTATCTGGCTCAAAAGGTTTACATATATATGATGGCAGCCATCTTGGATTTTGACATGGCAGCCCAGTTTTAGAAAGGAACCATTCTTACTCCTAGATGCACCCACACACCAAAATGGAAGTCTGTACCTCACTGATTTTTCAAATTATCATGCTTACAACATGCACGGGCGGACAAACAAACAAATGGACGGTATTTCAAATTCCCCCTTTTGGTCCGCAACGAGGGGACAAAAATAAACCTTTGAGGGATCTCACATGTGCAGGAAATTTTTTGATGCTAATAAACCACCCAGTTTGACAGAAAAGCTTCTGGTAAGTAGGACTGAAACCAGTTAAAAGCAGCTCTTTTAAAACCAACACAAATGTAAACTTCAGTGGTACTGGGTACTGACGTATCAGGTCCAAGAACTGGATGTACTTACGAGGCTGGTCTATGGGTACAACAACAGGTCTGTGTTGCAGCTCTATAGCCCCCCTCTGGTGCAGCGAGGTCTCACTTGCAGAGCCCAGCACCATCCAAAGGGTGGGTCTAACAACAGAGCTGTCGTTTAGCGTCAAGTTGTAGCCGAGGTTCCATGCCAAGTTGTTCCAAAGCCGTCGATGGAGCATAACCTTAGGGAAGAAAAATAAGCACAGGTTGAAATGCTAGAAATTTCCAATCAAGTGTGTTTTGGTGATTTTTTATGTACCTCTAGCTGTCCGTTGGCTTGACTGGACACACCATGAGCTCTGTCGCTGAGGAGCACTAGCCGGCTGAGGTCATCCTCGATGTAGGCTGCCCGAACCATCGGGAAGTAATTCTGCAAACCATCGTATTATAAAAATACTTACAAATTTCTACTACTGCCAAGTATAAAAACCCAACTTATCAAATAGCCCACCCTTGCTAAAGTGTTTTTAGAGAATTTCCTGTATGTCCTCTTCATCATTTGGTAGCCATTGTCATCAGAGTACAGAGTCTTGTTGTTCTTGAGGGAGGAGCTGGTCCTGAGGATGACCTCGGTGTTGAGAAGAAGAGGACCCAACGAGTAGGTCTGCTCCAGTCTGTGGCACTGCGGTCCCGTCCCAAAGTATTCAGGGACACGGGTGGTGATTGAGTAAGCATAGTCTTTATCACTGTCTTCTCTAGAACACAATCAGTTCAAGAGTACGATTCGTTATTCACAACAAAGAGATCAGAGACATCTAAACAAAACTGGATATACGGTATGTATGTATAGTATGCAGTACTACTCACCTGTAGAAGTACTGTCGGACCTCGGTAACGATCTTCCCTGGAATAATCTCCATTTCGACAGCCTTATAGGCCCTAACAGCTGAGCCATTGGTGCTGAAGATGTAGTTGTCAGAGATGGGACCTGCTTTTACGTCTCCGTTTGCATCGTATTCCCAGAAGTCCTGTGTCATCCTTACTCGCCTTTTCTCCTGACTACCACAAGAAAGGCCAAATTCCAGAAATATCAAATCTAAAAGAATGAGAAATCGCTTGTGTGTAATCTGACGGAGGCTTCAAAACGTACAGGTAAGTGATGCTGTGCAGGAGGTTGGTGTCCTGGTCAAACATCAGTTTGTAGCATTCGCTCAGAACAGGCAGAAGTTTCCTTTCTGTTTTCACCCCGTTCCTTACACTGCGTCTCTCAAACGCAACTCCTGCAGCTTCGTAAGTCTGTGCACACTCGGACTCCTTGGAACACGGTGCCTCCGAGAGCTTAATCAAGTACTTTCTGTGCTGAAGGCCGCCCAGTTTCACGACGACAAAAAGATCGAAGGTTGCGTTGGACTGTGCGGACCTCTGGATCTGCAGCAGAGACGGGTTTTATTCCAGTTCACGAGACAAACTAAATCACGCCAAGCAGGATGAGTCGCTTACCTGTGCAGGTACAGGCTGTCCGTCGTCATCGAAGACAGCTGCGCTCGGGAACGTTACGGTCACATTAACGATGGTGGTGATGTTCCAGGCTAAAGGGTTGAAAATTATGACATGTTGCTCCAGACCCTGATCGACACCTGGATTAGAAAAATAAACGATCTTTGAGAAAAGTTGATAAAAACACCTATGAACTAATCTTATTGAAATTTATTCCCTTGTTGCCATAGTTCTACCTCAAATTACTCATCCATGTAATTTTAGTGTAGGTCATGGTATCTCAATATGTTTTAGCATGTTTATCAAGCTGTTTTAAACTCTTACAACAAAATCTTGATACTGTTTGCGAAATGTTTTAACTTATAAATGGACCGGATTTGGTCCAACCCCTAAAGAAGGTATTGTTTGTTCACATAAGGATCCAGGAATAAATAGCTTTGGAAGAAAAAGCGAGCCATCCTCCTCTACCTCACTCTGTCCTCTGCATCCTCTGTCCTCACGCCAACTACCTTCATGTCCTCTCTAACTGCATCCATACATCTCCTCTTTGGCCTTCCTCTTTGTCTTTTTCCTGGCAGCTGCATTTCTAACATCCTTCTACCAATATACCCACTGTCCCTCCTCTTGACATGTCCAAACCATCTCAGTCTGGCCTCCCTAACTTTATCTCCCAGTTGTTCAACCAGTGCTGTACCTCTGATTATCTCATTCCTAATCTTATCCAGCCTTGTCACTCCTAAGGAGAACCTTAGCATCTTCATTTCTGCCACTCCCAGTTCTTTCTCCTGTCTTTTTGTCAATGCCACTGTCTCCAGACCATACAATATAGCTGGTCTCACCACTGTCTTGTAAATGTTTCCTTTGACCTTTGCCAACACCCTTTTGTCACAAATCACTCCTGAAACTTTTCTCCATCCACTCCATCCTGCCTGGACTCTCTTTTTCACTTCTTTACCAGATTCCCCATTTTCCTAGACAGTGGACCCCAAGTACTTGACTGGTGCAGATGTTAAATAAGAAAATACATTTAAAACAAACAGTTTTGAGCCAATCTGTTTTTTGGTTTACAGTAGTCCCTCGTTTATCACGGGGGGATCCGTACCCTGAAGCCCTGCAATAAGTGAAAAACCGTAAAGTAGGGATAGTAGTACAAATAGTAAGTAGTAGTTTATTTTAGTATATATATATATATATATATATATAGGTGTTTTAAACCCTTCCCACACTCTTTCAATATTCTAAACAATGATTCTAAACTCTAAACGCTCTAAAAGAGCACAGCATGTCATGATTTCAGCTCTCTGCCTCCTGCTGCACTCTGGGCCACGCCCACTTCTCCACAGAAAGACGAAGATCAGAGAGGAGGGAGGAGGAGCTAAAATAATTAATTTAAAATAAAAAATTCCATGATGCTCACGAGGCTCATCCATCAATCAGTCAATTGTGTGTCGTGTCCAATCTTATTTTGAAAAACCGCGAGAGAGCGAGTCTGCGAAAAATTAACCGCGAAGTAGCGAGGGACTACTGTATTTAATGTGGACATTATTGCCATCTACTGGCCCGACACAATTATTTTACGGTTGCTGTTTTTTTTTTAACTGGTGCATTTTTTATCAGGATGATTTTTTTAACTGTTTTTTTTAATGAAGAAAAAAAGGAGTTTAAACAATAATTTGGAAATCTGGAGCGATTTTAAAATGGGGCTTAACACAAAGTAATCAGTCAACTGTCATAAAACTAAACTAGGCTCTGTTTAGCACCAACATAACTGGTTTGTTCCACTTTGGAGTAAGCTGTTGGGAGAAGAATCAGTTTTGTGTTGTGTGTTTCCTTGACTGATGAAGCCTTCCGGATGGAAGGTGAAACTTTTCAGCACAAAAAAAACCAAAAAACTGTCCAGATGACCTGACTGAAAAATGTTGGATTGTATACCTGGATTATTGAGCATGGACTTTGTTACTTCACACATAGTATCCCTTTGTGCCCCACAAAAACAATAAATAAATTCTACTACATTTGTGTTTTTATACTAAACCTGTCACAATTACACTTTGATTGTCTTGACTTTTAATTTTGTTCTTTTCGTTAATGTGGCCGTTATCGCCACCTAGTGGTGTGGCATGGGTATGTCAGCATTTCTGTTCGAATCGTCTGGACAAAGATTGTTTTATAAACAATCAAAAAACATATTAATTTAAAATTATATCTCGAGTAGTGTAGATGGGACTTTGAGTAACAATAAGCAAAAAATGTTAGCTTACCTCTAACACATTCAAAAATATTTTTGGAGGTTTCGAAGTCTAACAACAAAAATCTTAACACGACTGCATTGTTTCTTTTTAGTTCACAACAAAACAGTTGCTTTCAAAGGTATGGGGAATATTTGAAGAGGTAAAGAAAAGTTAACTTTATCTTGCTTTTGCTCTGATTCCTGGTTAGACGTCTGAAACTCGGAGTTCCTGATTGTATTCGAACATAAGGCAACTCAAAATGCTCCAGTAAAATTTTAACATACTGGATCAGAAAAACACGAGAAAACACTAATTGGTAATTAGACAGTCAGTGACATTAGCACACCTTTTTTATGAACGCTGCTGTCGTGGACGTTTGAGGAGGCGAGGTTATGCGGCAACAGAAAGAGCGCAGCGAGGAGCTCATCCACTCCCATCATGGCCTCCATGAGATGCTGCATGTACATTTCTGCCACTTTGGGAGACTCAGTACCCGTGATGCCATCGTGGTGCTGAACCTTAAAAAAAATACAAAAAAATCTTGTTTCAAAGTCAACAAAGTCTTTGTTTAAAATATTTCTTGCTATGTCATCTATTGTTTCATATTATTTGTCTATAAAGTACACTGCCTGGCCAAAAACATGTCACCACCTGGATTTAACTAAGCAAACAATTAAGAATCTCTCATTGGATAATTACTGCATGGGTGATTGTGTTTCAGCTGACAACACGTTATTTACTGTATTTACCGGATTATAAGGCGCATTAAGCGAAACAAGTTCATTTTGACAGATTTTTGAGCGCCGTGTACCACAGAACATCGGTTCAAAGTCTGTAAGCACAACCAGAATTAATACATAAGGCGCACCGGATTATAAGGCTCACTGACAATTTTTGAGAAAATTAAAGGATTTCAAGTGCGACTTGTAGTCTGAGAAATACGGTAACCTTAAATGAAGCACTGATTCTAACATACAAAGCTCTCAATAACTTAGCTCCATCTTATATTGTTCCATACTTTCCTAACAGAGCACTTTGCTCACAGACTGCAGGTTTACTTGTAGTTCCTAGAGTTTCCAAAAGTAGAATGGGAGGCAGAGCTATCAGTTATCAGGCTCCTCTTCTCTTATAGAACCAACATCTAGTTTCTGTCTGTGAGGCTGACACATTGTCCAGTTTTAAGATTAGGCTTAAGTCTTTCCTTTTTGATAAATCCTATAGTTAGGGTTGGCTTGGGTTTCCTGAACTATCCCTTAGTTCTGCTGCTATAGGCTTAGACTGCTTGAGGACAAATTGACCACATTTCCTCACTCTGCTGCTGTCTTTACTAGCTCTAGTCCACCTGTTTGTATTTGTAATTATTTATATCTTTAACATGCGTTTTGTTTTTCCTCCAATAGAAAGTACGCCCGGACCGGTCTGTTTCTACTTCCTGTCCTCATAAACCCCAGCAAGCCAAAGCAGATGGCCGCTCGTCCTGAGCTTGGTTCTGCTGGAGGTTTCTTCCTGTTAAAAGGGAGTTTTTCCTTTCCACTGTTGCCAACGTGCTTGCACAGGATGGAAAACTATGACGAAGTGAAGGTTCAACACAATCTGCTGGCTTCCTTAGGTAGATAACTTTTACTGATTGGCTTTTATGATGCATAAGAATGTTTCTGTCCAGTGCCCTGAGACAATATCTGTTGTGACTTGGCACTATATACTGTAAATGAACTGAAGTGAACTGACATAAAGGACCTTCTTGTCTGTTAAAGAAAGAAACACATCCAGTGGCCATGGAAAAAATCTGTTTCAGAAGGGTCTAACTTTTGGCACACATCAATCACAGAAAACATCCAAGGAGATTATTGAAACTACTAAAATCAGGTTGAGAACTGTTTAATGCATTATTAAAAACTATAAGGACCGTGGGGAGAGCACAACCGGGTAATGAGAGATGGCTGAAGTGATGCACCTTCCATGCCATGTCTAATGTGCAAACCTATGGGGGGCGGTCTACGATATGGGGTTACTGCACTTGTTCTGGTCTAGGTTCAGAAATGCTATGTGTCCAAAGAACGAGTTCAGCTGACTACCTGAATACACTGGGTGACCAGGTTATTCCGTTAATGGATTTGTTCTTCCCTGATGGCATGTTCCAAGATGACGTCAAGATTCACCGGCCTCATATTGTGAAAGAGTGGTTCAGGGAGCACGAGACGTCGTTTCCACACATGGACTGGCTACCACAGAGTCCAGACCTGAACCCCATTGAGAATCTTTGGGATGTGCTGGAAAAGGCTTTGCAAGTGGTTCAAATCTCCCATTGTCAATACAAGATCTTGGTAAAAAAAAACAAATGCAACTCTGGGCAGAAATGAACGTGATAATGCAGAAGCTTGTGGAAAAGATGCCACGGTAAATTTGTGCCGTAATCAAAGCTAAGCTAAACTGTGACCTTTTTTCTTTGGCGAGGCAGTGGAGTTTTATTTCATTGCACGTTAGAGGCACAATTTGATCGTGAAGATGGATCACCTCAGAGACGGCCCAGCGTAGAGCTCGAAGTTTGTCCAGGGCCCAGTCTTTAGCCACAGGTCCATCTGGGAAACTGATTCGGTATCGAGTGAAAAGAGCCTCTGCTGCGTGCAGCAGGGAACTGGCTCGCCTCGCCACTCCTTTCAGAACATTTCTGGAGGCGTAAAACCCAGTCCAGGCTTGGTATGGTTCTAGGAAACATAGCAATCTTGGAATTATTCACTAAAAAAAGAAACGCATGTATGTGTGACCGTTGGTCCCTTCTTAGTTTTTGTGTCGTCTCACCCGTGGAATACGGTAGAAAGTCTTCACTCCCACGGACGTCCCAGGTAAGATTGGTTTGGTGAACAGATTTGAAGTATTCACTCAGAGTGGCGTACTGGATGGTAACTCCAAACTCTTTGCTGTTCTGGTTGATGTACTTCATCAGAGGATCCATGTTGCCGAATTGCACCGATGAGTTGTAGAACTGTTTGTCACAACCCTGAAACACAAGGAACCAACAAGCGCGCCGAGTAAGAAAGCTTCCTGGTAAAAATCTAAAATTACCCAGCCGAGAAGGCCCAAGCGTGCTGTGTTTACGGACCCAAGGCCAGAGAACGTGGCTCGTCCTGAACCATGCAGCCCTCTGCTTGATGTTCTCCACCATGGTCTTGGCGTAGGGCTGTATGGTCTCCTTGGTGACGGGGAGGCTCATGTTAGGGTAGACCCCATCTTTAGGAGGATCGGGGAACAAAGCAATTCCGTTCCAATAGAAACCAGAACTACAGTGGAAGAAACATTTGTTCTTAATGTCTAAACAGAAAAGCTTTGGTTATTTTTAAACACATAACCAGGATTAAGTGAAATAAAGTACAATTTAACGACTAGAGATTTCTGACACTGATATTTTTTGGCACATTTGAACGAGTTAATGTTTCTAAAGCATTTTGCTTCTGTACGTTTTTGGCACACAACTCGCAATTATTGTTTTGTTTCGATAATTCACGTACCAAAGCGTTCAGCTCATTCAGAACATTCCTGCTGCGACTTTTGACATTTGTGAAATTTTGACTTTTTGCGATATTTAGCTTTTCTCTGCCATCCATGCATCCATTCATTATCTTGACCCACTTCTTCCTTTTCAGGTCGTGTGGGTCACTGGTGCCCATGTCCAACAGTCACAGTGCGAGAGGCGGGGGACACCTTGGACAGGTCTCCAGTCCATCACAGGGCCACATAGAGACAAACGAGACAAACAACCATTCACTCTCTCACTCACACCTGGGGACAATTTTAGAGTTACCAATCAGCCTAATATGCATGTTTTTGGTCTGTGGGAGGAAACTGGAATGCCCGGAGAAAAACCCACGCATGCACGGAGAGAACATACAAACTCCACCCAGAAAGGTCCTCGACCGGGATTTAATCTGGCGACCCACTCGCTGAGAGGCAGCAGCTCTACCAACTGCGCCACCGTGCCGCCCCTTTCCTCAGCCATGTTTTTCGTATTAAAAATGGAGGTCTCTTCACGTTCTTTAAACTCTTTGTGCTGTTTGGAACCTTTTTTCAGCTTCTTTGTTCTCATTTTAGCTTGCTTCAGCTCCTTTCAGCTAAATTCATCCTTTTTTCTGCTTTTTCAGAAACTTTTCAAGTATTTTTCTGTAATATTAGACCTATTTTTGATAGTTTTTTCCGTGGCCTTTTGTGCTTCTAATAATTTCAACTTTTGATGCACCTTTCGCCTCTCTCTTCAAATTTCAGCCTTTTTTTAAGCATTTTCAGATACTCTTTTTTTGCTCATTTCAGCTTCCTTTTTCGTTTATTTTTGTTCCTAATTTAAGACTTTTTTGATCCACCTCTCGGACTATTTGTTCTAGAATTGCGCCGCACGGTGTGGCTGCATGTTGCAGTAGCTCTGTTACATTAATTCTGAGTTATTGCTTTTAAAAACTTTAACTACTCTTTTTTCAAGATGTAAATTTATTGTTTCAGATGATTATTTACTCTGGTATCGGATGCTGTGCAGCTGGAAGGATTTCTACTGAAAACTTTTAACTTTGGGGCATTTGTTATGATGTGTAACCATGGTAACAAGGTGTTTTTTAACAACCAGGAGCAGAAGATTAACATCTCAAAAGCTCAAATACCTCAGCTACAGCCCCAAATGAGTTGAAAAGGAGGTGCCGTGGATGAATTCCCGTCAACCTGGTGACGGTGCATGAGTACCTGACTGCCAAGATCCTGGAGCTGGTGGGAAACTCGGCTCGTGACAACGGGAGGACTGGGATCATTCCCCAACACCTTCAGCTGTCTGTCCGTGGCAACGAGGAGCTTTCAAGCAGTTCTGCTGCCCAGGAGGACCGAGAGACCCACTGGATCTGACAGCAAGCTGGATCCGGGTGGGCGGATCAGTATCTGTGGCTAGATTCTTCGGATTTACTGCAGGAGATCCTTCCTGCCCACAGCTATCAGCATCTATAACTCTTGAATGAAACCAGGATGATGAGGTACAACAACACTTAATTTTCCTTTGGAATTAATAACGCATTTTTGAATTGAATTGAATTTCAGCTCATTCTACTGATATTCTGCTATATTTCTGCTCTATTTGGCTTTTTCTACAAATTTCAGCTGTTCAAATTCAACTCACATTAACAGAGATGAAGCCTTTTCTGCTGGTTTCAGCTTCTTCAGCAGCTTTCAGCAAAAATCCTTCAGCAATAAGCATTTGCGCTGCATTTTCACAGGAAATGCAATTTCTCTAGTTAAATTTACATTTTGCATGAGTGGTTCCCAACCCTGGTCCTTGAGGAACGCCATCCTGCATGTTTTAGCTGTTACTCCGCTCCAACACCTAATTCAGCGATTTACAGTAATTACTTCCTCAAGTTCTGCAGAAGCCTGTTAATCACCAATTTATTCAAATCAGGTGAATTGGAGCAGGGAAACAACTAAAGCATGCAGGATGGTGTTCCTCAAGTATCAGTGTTGGGAACCACTGGTTTAGACAAAATAAAAGTGGCTCGACTTTCTCCAGTTGATTATAAATAGAAACCCACACCATTAAGGGAGGCTGTGGCTGAGTGGTTTGAGCAGTCGTCCTCCCATGCCAGAGTTGGGGGTTAGATTCCACCAGCAGTCACATGCCGAAGTGTCCCTGGGCAAGACACTGAACCCCTCATTGCCTCCGATGTGTGTCCCATTGGTGTATGAATGTGATAAAGCACTGATTAATCTCTACAGATTCAGATTAGCTTTGAAGAGATCTAGTAGAGTGCTGTATGAATGGGTAAATGAGGCACAGATTGTAGTGTAAAGCACTTTGAGTATCTTGAAAAGATAGAAAGGCGCTGTATAAGTACAGTCCATTTACCATTTAAATGTCCAATTAATGGACAAACATGGGCGCGACAAATGTAAAGGTAAACTACCTGTTGGAGAACGGCAAGTGTGACGGAGCACAGTAGCTGAACTGGTCCATGGTGTGAGTGAAGATCTCTTGCTGGGCCCTCAAAGAGGGAGAGCCTCGCCACACAAACTGCAGTTTCTATATAAAACAATGACAGAAAACAGTAAAGTACCCCACGAGACAAGGATCAATACGAGTCCATAAATGATTTGATTTGCAAAAAGTTGACACGTCTAGAACAGACTACCAGAGAAGACAAGTGGTGACATGAGGCGTGGAGTGATGGTGTTATCAGGCAGTTGCTTGGACATCTAATAGTGTAATCTAATCTAATAGAGCAGATGGCCGCTCGTCCTGAGCCTGGTTCTGCTGGAGGTTTCTTCCTGTTAAAAGGGAGTTTTTCCTTTCCACTGTCTCCTTTGTGCTTGCTCGGGATGGGAGACTGTGACGAAGTGAAGATTCAACACAATCTGTTGCTTCCTTAGATACAGTAGATAACTTTACAAATTGGCTTTTATAACGTGTGTGAACGTTATATAAAAAGGGGTATCACTGCGAAAAAAGTCAATGTAATGCCACTTGATTGTTGATGTGTGTTGCTGACTATCCATGCTGCTGATCTCATGCTGCTGATTTATTTTATGCTGCTGTGTTCATTTGTAATCATTTTTACAATTTATATTTTTATTGGATGTAACTGGGACCCTGTATACAGAATTTTGTTCCACCACATGTAGTGTGAGTGACAACAAAGAACCTTGATCCTTGATGTTTCACACAGTTTCATTTATTTTCCACCACTCCATCTGGGCGCTTTACCGTTTTTTTGTCAGACTGTGTATTAAGCTTAATTTCTTACACACATATTTAAAGGGATCTGTAACTACTTGCACATACAGGCCTTGATATGTTGTTATTTCTCTATTCTACTAAAAGTTGTTGTTCGTGACACGTAAAAACTCCTAATTACTTAAAAATCAATATATGTTTGTTCCGTTTTTCACCTAAGGACGTCACCATTTTTCTATGGCGATGGCGTAAATCAGTTGTAGTGGAGACGAAATCACAAGAAGCTGAGGCTAAAATGTTATAACGTGACAATAAAGCTATATTTTTAGTCCTTATGCACAATACACGGGTCGAAACGATCAAACGTGATCAACTTGCGATGTTTAATTTATTAGCTCTAACATTCAAGCTGAACGTAAATAAAATTATGATGTCCGTGTAGGCCTGTCGCGATAAACAATACATCAATTAATCGCATGATGAATGAAAATTATCGACCTCATTTTCATTTATCGGCTTCATCGTTTCTTCGTGTCTCTCTCTTTCTACTGAAGACACTGGACGACAAAAGATTCAACTCCGGTGCTCTTCACTGACCCCTCCCTTTCTCTTTAAAATCCAATTTAACCGTCCAAAATCACGTTTTTGGATTGTTCAAAGCAGCTAAGCTGAGAAGCTAAGCTACGAGCTAAGCTAACAGGCCGACCTCGGGGAAAAACCTCTGTCTTGTCGAAGCTCCAAAATTCACGGTTGAAACCCGTGCCTTCGTGTAAAAAGTTGTTTTTCTCTGCAAAAAGAAGCTGAGAACTTGTTGACTGACTTTTTTATTAAATGCTTTGTGCGAAAAATGCTATGTTAAAGAGCTCAAACCACACAGAGCGTCCGCCATGTCACCATGTCAGCCCATGTCACGTCAAGGGCCCTCCCTCTCATTTTTCTTAAAGAAACGCGCTGCTCAACTATCCATCCTTTGGTTCTAACAGTTTTATACTGCCATCAAGTGGTCAAAAAACGTACTACACTCCAAACAAATCAACATTTCTTCTAAAATTTGACGATTAATTATTATTAAATTTCAAACAATATTATCGTTTATCGCAATAATTTCTGAGACAATTAATCGCCCAGCAAAATTTGTTATCGTGACAGGCTTATGTCCATGTTAATAATTTTTAAAACTTATAAGAACTAAACAGTCTACAGGTCTTGTTTTCATAGCTGAAGTAATTGTTGATCAAATAATCTCTACTGTTCTAACCAACCGTTAAGGTGAACAGCCTTGACCTTGTTTTTCTGCATGCTGTCTTTGAGGTCGTAGTCGATGCGCGAGATGAGGTGTGCGTTGAACCCCGCCATGGCGAACAGGACTGGTGTGGTGGAAGACGCTCCAAACGGATCCACGTGCCAGGAGAACTGAGGGCGCGCCCCGAACGTCTCGTACAGAAACCCGTGGCCCTCTGAAACAGCAGAACCGCTACGTTTTGTACCTTGCACCTGTACTAGGAGTACTGGAGGAGATTCTAAAAAGAAGCGTTGGATTACCCGTCAACTGCAAGATCTGATCGTCCAGGTCCGTTACGGCCTCGTCATGCATCACCTGGCCCCCGATGATAAACTCGACACGACCTTCTTGCACAAGCTGTCGCACCTATAATTCACACACGCAGAGATCAAAATTAAAGGAGGAAGTCCGGCTGAAAGTTGTTAAAGTGAAGAGAGTTTCAGCAGGGGAGGAGCAGCTAAGAGCTTTAAGGTCCAGCAAAGGCAACGTGACTCATATTTTAATTAAATTCAGTAAAATCAAGGGCCCTACAGGTTTTTATGCCTTTAAAACATGCTTCTAGTTTAGGTAGATGACTGGATTCATTGGATTTCATGGACAAATATAACTGTGTATCATCAGCATAACAATGACAAGTTTTCAACCAACAGCTTTTTGTAAATCACCTTGTTGTGTGATTGTTCATGAAGCTTTCACTCTACTGTGATCCATTTTTTCTTCTGTACGTTTTTCGGCGCGATTCTCGTCCCGCAGTTTTCAAACTATTTCAACAAATAAAAAGTTCAGCTCGTCCAGGACGCTCCTGATACGACTTTTGGTATTGGTGCAGCTTTAGCTTTTTGAAATATTTAGCCTGTTCTGCCATTTTTTTTTCTCATAGAAAATGAATTGAGCTCATTTTACACCCGTTAAATATTTAGATGTGTTTACAACCTTTTATTGTTCCTTTCACATTTTGTTCTGGTTCAGCTTCTTTCAGCTTCCTTGTGCAAATTTAAACTTTTTCGGCTACGTTCAACTAATTTAAGCTGTTTTTTCACATGTTTTGTGCTTCTTTCAGTTTCGTTTTGCTATCTACAACATTTTTGGGCTTCTTCTAACTTATTTCTGCTAGGTTCAGCTTTTTCTGCTATTTCAGCTACTATTTAGCTGTTTTTATGCTAATTTAAGCATTTTAAGCCAATACCACATTTTTCCACTCATTTAAACTTTTCCAGCTTAATTCAGCAAAAATGTGCTCTCTCCACTTCCTTCTGGTAATTTAAGCTTCGTTCTGCTTTTTTTTTATAGCTACTTTTCAACTGTTTTTTTTTTGCTCATTTCTGCTTTTCTCAAATAATTTGCACATTGTTGTTCTCATTTCAGCTTCTTTCAGCCTTTTGGGCACAACTGTGCTCTCTTCACTTCCTTCTAGCAATTTAAGCATATTTCTGCTTTTTAAGCTACTATTCAGCTGGAGGGGGGTTGTTGCAATTTTCAGCTTTTTCAGATAATTTCCACTGTTTTGTTCTCATTTCTGCTTCTTTCAGCCTTTTGGGCACAACTGTGCTCTCTTCACTTCCTTCTAGCAATTTAAGCATATTTCTGCTTTTTAAACTGTTTTTTTTCAACTATTTTCTGATAATTTCCACTTTTTTGTGCTCATTTCAGCCTTTTGGGCACAATAGTGCTCTCTTCACTTCCTTCTGGTAATTTAAGATTCTTTCTGCCGTTTCAGCTATTTCTAGCTAATTTCAGCCTTTTTTAAGCTAATTTACTGATTTTTGTGCTCATTTCTGCTTATTTAAACCAAATTAATTAAAGTGTTCTTTCTGCTTTCTTCTGCTAACTTAGGCTTGTTCTTTCATTTCAGCTACATTTCAGCATGTTTAGCTAATTTCAGCTGTTTATCAGCAATAAGCATTCACACTGCATTTTCGTAGGCAATGCAGTTTCTCTAGTTTGTGTTCAGATGCAGATCTGTGTAAATTTTAATATGCTTCATATATTAAACTAAATTAAACGGGAGCATATTGAGTCTTTTTGAAAGGCAGCCGTAACAAAGGGCCTTAAGATCCAAATTTAAATTATTTTAATTGCTAAGTTGTCTGTTATATGAGTGTTTCATCATCACGCAAAAGATAAACTAAAGCTCACCTTAATAAAATGAGCTACAAAAGCCGGTCTTAAAAAAATGCTAAAAAGCAGCTAAAGTAAAGAAAGAATAAAAACTTTGAAAGACGTGTTTTAAAAGAAAGTTTGTCTCTTTGAGATCTCTGTAAACGTTTCAAATCAGTACAGGGTCTTGATTACGTTGCTGTGACAACGAGCTCATACTTGTTTCTTTTGGGACTCTGAAGCTACGGTGTCCCACCACAGTCGAAAGAACTCCTGCTCCACAGCGATGAACCGGCGCTCTTTGACCTTTGACAACTCCTCGGTCACGCTGCTGTACACGTTGGCTGCGTAGGCGTGCATGCTCTCCTGCAGGAAAAACAGATTATTCAGCATTCCTACACGTTAGGGACGACTCTCAGCTACTTTCTTCTTCTTTCGGCTGCTCATTTCAGGGGTCGCCACAGAGCTACCACAGCGCTCTGTGTGGTTCACAGAGCTGCCATGTAGGGTGCCCAGGAAAGCAGGTGGTGGGGGTTAAGTGCCTTGATCAAGGGCCCAGAGTGGGGCAAATGAGGGTGGAGATAGGTGTGGGTGTTTCACCTTTCTCCCCCACATTTTGATGTTGTCGGTCTGGGGAGTCGAACCAGTGACCTTACGATCACAGACCCACCTTCTCTAACCTCTGCGCCACTCCCTCACGAGGACTCTCAGCTACTACCACACCAAAATGGAGCTCAGTATCTGTAAAACTGACTGAGTTGCAGCCATTTCTGTGTTGGCTGTGACAGCCATCTTGAATTGGGTTGACTCCTTAATGCAACCAGTTATAGATGCACATGTCAAAAATGTAATCTTGAAATTGTATTAAAAACTGTCCAGTGGCTCGTGACATATTTTGCTAACAGACAAACAAGCGTTGACTCTAACGGCACAGTTTAAAAAACAGATATGTTAGTGCTCAGAATGAGTTGGGAAGGACTCTCAGCTACTACCACACCAAATATTAGCTCATTATCTGTCAAGTTGGCTCATTTATAGTCACTTCTTGTTTTCACTCAGGTCGGTTAGTTGTAGCGGCGATGATAAGAAACCATCGCAGAACACAACTTGATTAAATCTTAACGAGTAACAAACCTGTATAGTATAGACCCAGCCCACATCCATATGACTGTGGGGAATTACGAAAGTTTGAATGGGCTGATCCTCCGCTTTTGCTTCATACGAACAAACACCCAAAATAAACACAAAAACTGCTAAAAATCTCATTTTGGTATCCCACAAACAGAAAAACGTCTTCGTTAACTTCCCCTTCCTCCACTTCCGGAACATGTTGTTGTTTTGCTTCGTCATGTGACTTGCTCCACAACCTTTCCTGCTCGGCTGACAAACCGGGAAGCCGGGTGGGCGTGGCTTGATACTTATCCAGCGGCGAATCAGCCGCGTCATTCCCCGGCTGACTGAAAAGGAACGCACCCAATCGTCTGACAGTTCATCCACTACGGAAGCCCGGACAACCAGCGCAGCTCCACTTCGCCTGTTTTCGACTGTGAACTTTAACACCGGAAGCAGTCGCTGTAAACACAGCGTTTATCCGAAGGTTAAAGTGTCTTCAGATGCTACAGAGAAAATGTCTAAAAACACTAAAACAGTGCTGATTTTCGGAGGCTTCATTACGGCGGTGGCTGCTGCATTTTATCCCATCTTCGTCTATCCTCTGATGCACAAAGAAGAGTACAGTAAGTGCATTTAACACAACATAAATATATAACTTACACAATGTGCTACAACCTCTAATTTATGTAGCTGGAAGGTTTATAACGTCGTTTGTTATTAATTTCAAGGCTAAAAATGTTTAACACGACGAAGAAAACTAGCTAACTTTGGCTGATTTTAGAATGAAGCTGAGCATTTTGTTTAGCTATCTGAAATAAATACTTTTTAATGCAATAATTTAACTTAACGCGGAACATTTTAAAATCAAATCTATATTGAAAGTGTAAAATAATCAAATATTCTGCGGTAGTTCAAGCCAAAATAAACAGTTAATGGAGGACATTTGATTTCTGTTTGTTTGAGTGTAGTCAGAATCAGTTTAAGACATTAAGATTCAGTACAAACAATAATTTGGTTTATTTTAATTTACTTTCAGAGCCAACAATCATAACCACAGGCTTATTTAAGATCATTTTCACACGTTTAACTTATAATCCGTGCTCTTCTTGCTTCTAGGACAAATCCAAAAGGTGAACCGGGCAGGAATCAACCAGGCAGACGTGCAGCCCGTGGGTAAGGATCAGGTTTATTAGAAAATATGATCGACTTAATGTGACGAGCTGAAGGTGAATGAAACAGCTGGAGTTTAATTGAGACCGACCTGACGAGGACGGGTACGTTTGAAACATTTTACATGTGCAGACGTTACAAACGGGCCGCGTCACATGGATGGAAAAGACGAAGTCAGATGGCTCTGAAGTTCCTCCGCTCACATAAACGTGTCCAAAACTGGACAAACATTGACGCATATTTATTGTGTGAATATTTCATGAACACTGTTGTGATCCGTTTTTCTCCTGTACGTTTTTCAGTGCCATTCTCGTTCCGCAGTTTTTGTGCTGTTTCAACAAATCATGAATCAAAACGTTCAGGACAATCCTGCTGTGACGTTTTGCACTGATGCAATTTTAGCTTTTTGAAATATTTAGCCTTTTCTGCCATTTTTTTTTTTTCTTATAGAAAATGAATTGAGCTCATTTTACAACCTTTTACTGCTCCTTTCACATTTTGTTCTGCTTCAGCTTCTTTGTTCAAACTTAAACTTTTTTTTCGGCTAATTTCAGCTGGTTTGTGCTCCTTTCAGCTTATTTCTGAAAGTTTCAGCTTTTTCTACTATTCCATTCTATTTTGCACATTTTTCAGCGTAATTCAGCAAAATTGCGCTCTTTCCACTTCCTTCTGCTAATTTAAGCTTCTTTCTGCTTTTTAGCTACTTTTCAGCAGTTTTTTTTTTGTTTTTTTTTTTTTTTGCTAATTTCAGCTTTTTTCAGGTAGTTTCCAAAATTTTCTGCTTCTTTCAGCCTTATTAACTTAGTTCTACTAATTGCATCTTGTTATGCTCTTTTCATCTTATTTCTGCTAGTTTCAGCTACTAGTTAGCTGTTTTATGCTAATTTTAGTCTTTTCAACTAATTCCACATATTTTGCACTCATTTAAACTTTTTTCAGCCTAATTCAGCAAAAATGTGTTCTCCACTTCCTACTGGTAATTTAAGTTTCTTTCTGCCTTTCGTCTACAAATTTAAGCTTGTTCTAACTTTTTCAGGAAGATTTTTAGCATTTTTTCAGAAAATTTTAGCTTTTTTTTTTAAGCTAATTTCCTAATTTTTTAGTCGTTTCTGCTTTTTTAACATTCAGCAAATCTGTTTTTGCTTTCTCCTGCTAACTTAAGGTTGTTCTTCCATTTCGGCTACATTTCAGCATGTTTTTTAGCTAATTTCAGCTGTTTTTCAGCAAGTTCTTAAGCAGTAAGCATTCACACTGCATTTTCGCAGGAAATGCAGTTTCTCTAGTTATGATTGTTTTCAACTTTGTCCTCTATCTCGCACAGCTTTGAACCAAAACGCGTCAAATATACGCACAAAATAAATCGCACAAAAATAAATATTTAGGATTAATTCAGGAAAAGCTCTACGTACGTCACCGTAAAAAACATACGACTTTTTTAATAAATCACAGAAAGCTGGATTTTATGTGACTGAACTGATGCTTTTTATAGATTTGACACCATCACAGTTAAAGTTTTCAGGTCTCTCTTGTAAATGAGTCCCCGAGGCTCAATGGGATTAACCTGTATAAATAAAGATTGAATGAAAAAAAACTTTTATGATTTTTATTATTTATTTCCACATAATATTCAGCTGCTATATTCATACCCATCTGCTCGCAACAGACTCATGTTCAGGCTGCTGTTTAATGCACCGTATTACATTATTATTGTTTAGCTTATATCTTAGATCCATACTGTTTTCTTTTTTTAAAACTTTACATTATTGCTATTTTGGGGTGTAACTGGGACCTTGAGTACACAATTTTGTTCCACCTCATGTACCACATGCGATACAAATGACAATAAAGAACCTTGATGTCGCACTCGAAATTTTGTAATTAAAAAAAATCTAAACTTTCATAAACAAGCGTATCTTACTCCCACAAATCTTTTTGCTACACACAGAATGAAGGCACGTCTTCTTTCACTCAGTGTCTCTCACTTTTATAAAACTTGTGTTCGTCTCTGAAACCCCTCGAGAACACAGAGTGCACAGGTTACCGTGGACTTATTCTTTTCAGATCGGACTCGAGTTTTCACACAGCGACTGTTTTGAGGCTTACTTTTCAGTCTGTCTTTTATTAACTTGGCAGTCAGGGAGTGACAGACACAGGTGTGTTGTTACCGCGGTGACCACAATGAGCCCCAATGATGCTTTGCAAGTACAGTAGTCCCTCGATTATCGCGGGGGTTACGTTCCAGACAACACCGCAACCTGGAAGTAGGAACGCCATATTTATTTTAGTATTTATAAATATTTTAAGGCTTTATAATCCCTTCCCACACTCTTGCAATGTTCTAAACTCTTAAACCTACATAATTTTAACAACATACGTACAATGGTGTAGTCTACGTGATAATCGGGTACATGGAGTTTACCCACTAGAAAAGCTTGAGAATTTCATTGTACCCATTTAAAAGTACCCAATGATGCATGATATATCATTAGATACGCATCATTGATATGTTAAACGCTTCCGTAACAATCTATCCGTATGCAGCGCTTTGCTTTGGTACTGTTTTATAAATTCTATAGTATGTTTTAATACAAAGCTAAGTGTTGAACAAAGTTTGTTCATTTATTCAAATATACGCATCAGAGAAATTTGGAAATGTTTACTATGCTTAAAAATCTAAATAAATTGACAATGAACTAACCAGTTTGGTTTCTAAGCGCAGTATGTACAAAAATGTAGACTACACCACTGCATACGTATATTTACTGTACAGTACTGCAAAATTTTACTCACCAGCTCCGCAGACCAGCAGCTCGGTTCAGGTTCTGTCAGCTTCATAAATGGCGTAGATTTGCGTTGCAAAACTTTCCCCTCATTTCAGCAGAAAGTAACGGCCGGAAGCACTGTTGGCTTCTGGGTAGTGTAGTTCTTTTGACTTGCGTTACAGTATAGGCTTATTGAAAGAAAATACAAAATGACAGCCTGTCCAAAGTTTTTTTTTTCCCCGTTAACTTTTTATCCTGTTCCGTCCCAATCATGTGAGTTGACAATCGTCTACGCTGAAAAACCGCAAAAGTCATAACCGCAAAGTAGCGAGGGACTACTGTTTACACTAAGCTGTGCAGCAGTGGAGGTCACAGACTGTTTAAAGTTTTATTAACCTATAGATGCTGTTTGTTGTTTGCTCCAAAGGTCTGAAGATCTGGTCTGACCCGTTTAAGCCCGTGGACAAGTGATGACCGTTGTGAGCCGGGCTTTACTCCAGAAGTCCTGGATGCAGATGAATGATGGATGTCTTTGTGACGAGTGTTTGGTGTGTGCTTGAGTGAATTGTGTCAATAAAGTGTTTTTATTTGTTCTATTTTTCATCCTAAATAAAATCTAAAGAGCTAAGAATGTCACCTTGGCTTCCTCGTTGTGGATACTTGGAGTTGGACGGAAAAGTCTCGTGTCTTCACCAGTTTGGAGTGGCGGGAAATCTTTCTCGTCCACCAGGGGGCGCACTGTTTCTGTTTATTGTTTCTGACAGCACTGAACTTTAAGGTTTCGGGGTTAAAAAGAAAAGAACTCTGTATTTCCAAACATTTATTTCTGGTATGCAGCCTGTAGGAAATTACAGTGAAATGCAGAAGATACTTTACTGCAATCCTTTTAGATTTCTTCTAGCATCTTATTTTTGTTTAGTTGCTGCAAGAGTATATATATATATAAACATTTTCAGCAGACAACGACAATGTTCAGTAAAGTGCCGAACCCGTTAACTAAAATGGAAGCCAAAATAAAAAGTGTCCTTCCGAGACCCATCAGTTCGAACGCTCAGACATAGGATTTAATTGGCGCTCGGCTGGTGAACCGACCGGGGGCAGATCCACGGTCAACTTGTTTGAAAAAAAAAACAAAAAACACTCGATTCGATCCAGACTCCCTTTACGAGACCACTGGAGCTGTAAAAGCAGAGAATTCCAAAACTTGCTGTTTTTTTCTCCCCTGTACTTTTGTGGTTTCCTGACATTGACCAGCTTCCCCTTTAGGAGATTTGTCCATCAAAGTCCCTTTTTTTGGCGGGACGGTGGATTAAGAAAGAACCAAAGCGTGTGTTTACAGTTCTTCAGACACGCTGGGTTTTTACAGTAACCCTTAAGTCTCTCACGATCCTCCGTGTAGCCTGTACTTTTGAGGATTTGAGGACGGTCTGGAAGGCCCAACGCCAGCCGAACTGATAGGACATACCAGTGATGGCCACCGGCCCTCCCCCAATCAACAAACTCCTTTTGTTTATGAAAGGTTGTTATCGTTGGACGGCGTTCAGAAACGGGGAAACTCAAGAGCCTAGAGAAGCGTCCAAAATAAAGAGAGCGAGGGGAGGTGGTTTAAGGGGAAACGAGAAGCAGAAAATTCCTCTCATTCCCCACTGGTGTTTTCCAGATTCCTCCAGCGACAGCTCCGCGGCTGTGAGTGAAGTCAGCAAGCAGAGGAGGTGGGGGGGAGATGGAAGCAAACGACCAGAGGAAGGGATTCGCATTCTTGAGGGGACGCGTCACACAAGTACAGAAAGACACTTGATCCGTGTGTTTCTCAGCCGGGGAGGACACCGGGGTCCTTTTAGTCCTCCACGGATGAGTGGAAGGAGGGGTCACCCTCAAGTTGATGGGCTTTTATCGTCCGGTCTTTCTTTATGTGCTTCTTGACCCATTCAGGGGAATCGGTAGATAGACACCCATCTCTTTAAAACGTCGTCCGGGGTCACGGCGCGGTATGAACTCAACAATGTCGCCTCTGAAGCTCTTTTACTATCCTCCCATTAACCCATCACACAAATCTCTCCCTGCCATTGATGGTGTTTTTGGAAGGTGGTGGTTTGTCCTTTGATTGCTTTGAGGAGTTTGTTTAGGTCAGATAATTAGCTGAGGTTTGAGCTAATTGCCATGGGGACGAGGGTCGGCAGACGAACCTCAGGGTTGTAGAAACAGGAGGGAGGATTCGGGAAGAGGTTGGGGGTGTATGTGAAATAAAACCAGACCGAACATCTCCATAGGGCCGCAAGAAGCGTGGAGAAACGGGAAAGAAAAGATCGACTCCAGTGAAATGACTCATAATGAGGACACAGTTTGTTCAAGTTTTTATACAGTTTTCCTTCTGGGTTTATTTTATTTTACTCTTTCTTGGTTCACAGTTTAAGAGAAACTATATTTCCTCACAATCATAACTAGAAACATTATCACCCGCCACTGCCTATGCCTGTTTGTGGGTCAGCTTAAAAATATATTTTTAATGAAAGACGTCAAATATTCTCTTTGTGAGAGTTTCATCTATGGTAAATCAGTTAGGTGGTTGATAAAGTATTTTGCTAACAGATAGAGTTGCCGATATCTTCCATAGCAGCAGTGATGATGACGTCCTTTATAGCACTTCTACAAAATCCTGTGTTGCACATTAGTTATATTTATAATACGTAAAGCCCTTTAACAATGAGACAAACTGCATTTAAAATATGCATAACAATCAATGCTGAAATTTGATGGAGCTAAAAGGAGCAAAAAGCTAGCCAAAGGTATGGAATGAAAGCTAAAAGCTTAAAGTAGCAACAAACAAAATTATCCAAAGACTCGCTAGAAGCTGAAAGTAGCAAAATGCTAGCTAATTTTATCAAAGTGTAGCTACTATCAAAAGGCTTGATAGAAGATAAAAGTAACATGTCAGATAAAAATTGAATAGGTTAGCTAAAAGTATCAAAAGGCGGGGTGCTAGAAGTTAAAAGTAACAAAATGTCAGCTAAAACTGAAAATGAGCTAAATTACTAGCTAAAATTATGGAATGGCTAGCAAAACATATGGCAAGGCTGGCTAAACATATTGCAAAGTTAGCTAAAAGTATTGAAAGGCTAGCTAAAATTATGGAAAGGC